CCTTAATGCAAAAGACTTAATTCAAAGAACTCAGATGTAAAAGTGTTTAGAGCTGTTACTTCTTCATGTAGTTTGCACCAAAATGGAGTAAAGGATTGGATGGATGTAGTTCCCTCTGTTCTTTTAGCTGTTGCTGCACCATAACAATGAATTTAAACAAAGAAACTTGTGATTCAATATATTGTGATGGCCCACAATATTATCGAGAGACTTTTGACGATACGATATCACAATATTTTGGTTATTGTTACATCTTTATTATATGCAGATGAATCTTTATGTGGCTCCTGCAAAACATTTGGACTACTGTATATTTTCTGTCTGCTCTCATTAATAATTATCAGTAGAAGAAAAATCTGAAAATACTCAAATGATACATTAGTAAAAGTCCTGAGGGACCTGTTTAAAACTGTAGTAAAAGATATATGTAAAAGTAAATGTAAAAGACATCAGAAAACACAGATGTAGAAAAGTACTGAGCAGTGAAAAGGAGCGGTCCACACTGTGTCATCACAAGCCTCTGAATCGATTCCTTCATTTAAAACTCTGAAACATATTTTTGTTTCCTTTCCATTATTGGTAATCATTTTTATTTTGGATTTTTTTATCCTCTTGTAGAGGAGGAAACACACACACACACACACGCGCGCGCGCGCACACACACACACACACAGGGAGAACATGCAAACTCCAGGGAACTGAACCCAAAACCATGTTGCTGTGAGGAGAAACCATTAACCACGTTGCCACTAGATAGATGTATGCTCAGTAAAGAGTTGGGAGAATATAATATAGATGCTCTCTGTGTACATGTAATACTAATACCACAGTGAATGGAGAGGTTTGATTGCGCAGTATCCTTGTAGATGTGAGCAGGTCTATTCTTAGCTCCTGATCGTCTGTAAACACACGCAGGCTGGATGATTACGTGTAATGTGCTGTAGACTGGAGTAAATGAGCAGAATCAGACTGGATGTGGATGCACACTTAGAGAACATTTAACTTTAAACTTTAAACATGCTACTGTCACTTTAAATATGTATTATCAGTGAGAAAAGAGCTGCACGTGCACTCGGATACTTCAAACTCAACAGAAACTGTGCCGAGCGACTCTCCCCCACATCCTCAACACGTGCACACAGTTTTAAAACAGATGCTTGTGAGCTTTAATAATGTTGTTAGCTCTTCAAAACTTACCTGGAGTTGTGTTTGTTTCATTCACACACATGTGAGTAACTCTTAATCATTAGTCTGTCTGTACAGTATCTCCATAGCTTAAAATGTTCTGTTCCACCTTGTGATGTCGTGAAGAGGTACTTTTCTAGTAAAGCTAGATCCTAGTAAAGCTTAAAAACACTATTATTACTATTAGTATTACTTCTTGTATCACCACATGACATCACAAGGTGGAACAGAGTGTTTTCGGGTTTGAAAGAAGAACTCAGTGTAAATGTGCAAATGTGAGTTAAACATGTGAATGAAACAAACACAACTCCAGGAAACACAGTAGCATAATATGGCCCTTTACTAATACTACTGTAGTCTTACTGCTACTACTACTAGTACTTGTACTACTACTAGTTCTATTACTACTACTACTACTACTACTGCTGCTGCTGCTGCTGCTGCTGTTACTACTACTACTTCAGTTCAGAGAGTCATAATGGCCCTTTAGACTAAACTAAACTGAGCAGATGATCGAGATGTTTTCAGTCTGTTCTAGTTTAATGTCCATCAGTTTGATCCCCACACGTCTCTGTGAGTCCTGAAAATCTCTGTGGAATTCTTTCTGATCAGATGAGTTGTTGATTGTTTGAATAATGAATTGGTCATTGTTAATTTGATGCATTGTTGTTGCAGCTCTAATTGTAATTATTCAAATACTGTGATAAACAACAATAGTGAGAATAAACCTTTCTGAACCATACTGTAAAAAATAAACATATGGCACAATGAAACAGGTCAGTGCATCATTAATATCAATACAGACTCATGAACACACCGTGAGCCACTGCAGCTCGTGTCACGAACAGAAGAAAAGTACTCCATCCACTAGCTCAATAAATACTGAGGCCAAAACTGCCAATCTTTATTTGTTTCATGATAATATAGTTATTATTGTGACAAGCCTACACCAGACAAGCACCAAGCCTCTCTACTGTAGCAGAGAGCAGACAGGAGCAGACAGGAGCAGACAGGAGCAGACAGGGGCAGAGGCAGAAGAGCAGACAGTGACAGTAGAGACACTCTGAGCCTGATTTAGAAGCATCATTTGTCCATTTGTGTGTGGATAAAGTGTTTGTGATAGAGAGGAACAGCTGAACACAGCACATCCTCACGGCTATTCTGATCTGAGCTCCAGACACAAGCATCATATCACAAAAACAACACACGAACAGCAACTACTCAACTGCTCAAAACAGGTATGTCTGCGTTTTACAGGTTTGATATGTTTTGAAATGATTGTGCGTTTGGTTCATTTGAGTGTGTGTCAGGTGTGTGAGTTTGGCCTTGCACTGCAGTGGTGGTGGTGGGAGTCGGACAGTTGATATTTCCTGGGTGCATTCACACATTCACATCAAAACTGGGACTAAAAACCAAATGTACGTAAGGCCAAATAAGACTCAGACTTTACTGGAACAAGCAGCAGGTTTTACTTTAAACACTGGTAGAAGAGAATAGTATAAGACGATGGTAAAAGACGATGGTAAAAGCCAGATAGTATAAGTCAGTGGTCTATTGGGAAGATGCCAGTGTAAATGCAGCTCCTGTGAGTCCATGTTAAACTGACAAATGTGCGTGGAGGAGAAATGACTTGTGTCTTTCACTGACCTCCATCTGAAGTGTGTCCCTGTTGCCTGAGCAGCCAGTCCCTTCTACATTCTGTGTCAAGTTTTTTCAAAGCGTGTGGGTCAGGCCGGCCAGGTGAGTGTCCTGGGTACAGCCCTCCTCCTTCCCCTCTCGTCCCCCTCTCGTCCCCCTCCCCCTCTGCTCAGGGCAAACAGCAGCAGATGGACCCCCCCTGCCCCCCTTTTGCAACAGTCCTCTGTCATTAGCACAGACACATGTGCACAGGAGCGTGGAAACAGCAGGCTCTTCCTGTGTGACCCACGCTCACCGCCTCAGGTCACACACGCCGTCTCTGGTCAGACGTGTTTCCTTTGGTCAGAAACACTACCTCTGGAGATGTGTGTCCTCTGGTCAGACATGTGTCTATGAATCCTCCAGTTATTTACAGTTCCATACAGTTGGTCTATAAACGTGTTGTTTTAGCTGTCTGACCTTTGACCCTGTGCTCCTCTCTGTGACTCATTATAGGCTCTCTGCTGTTTGTTTGTTTGTGTCCTGGAGTCAAACCTGAACATGTCTAAAGTCAAACATAAGAGCTGCTCCCAACACTTCCCCAACACAATCATGCAACAGTAAAAAAGTCACTGTGCTCATTTTTACGACTACTACGACTACAACTACTACTAACATGAGTCCTTGTCTTTAGTTTAGAACCCAGCTGAGTTTACACGAGTGTGTGGAGTACAGGTCTGTGAGGCAGAGTACAGGTCTGTGAGGCAGAGTTAAAGTGACTGAAGCCATAATGTGAGTCCATGTCTTTAGTTTAGTGCCCAGCTGAGTTTACATGAGTGTGTGTCTCAAAGATGCAGTGTGACTTTAACATCACTTTGTTCCATTTACTTTGGCGTCGCAATGAAATATTTAGAGGAAAAGAGACGTCGTGTTTGTTTCAGAATAATTAAGATCGTTTCCGTGGAAATGTTGGTCTTTGGCTATGTAATCAAACTCCTCTGTCTCCAAGGAGAAGGTTCTGGTTTTAACTTTATTTCCATGGAATGCACGTGATGTTCCACCTCCAGAAAGTTACACAGTGTTGCTTTAAGGATTAATGAGCCAAACTGTGGTCAAAGCTCCTGTCAGAGTCTGGTCTCTTCTGCTAAGCAGGACTGGGTCAGGACTTGGATGGGAGACTGTGGGGAATATCAGGTGTTAGAGTAGAGCAGCAGTGGCTCTGCTGGAGACTGCTGTTGTGTTCTTAAGCAAGACACTTCACCTACATTGCTCGTATGAATATGTTTGAGTGAGTGCTGGTTATGGTCCAAGCAGCCGCTACAGTTTGTTTGTGAATGAATAGATGTTGACACTTAACAGTTGATGTCATCAGCATTCTGTGGGGTGTGAGATAACTGTAAGCACTTCTCTGTCTGAAGCTCTATGACTCATTTTAGCACAATCTGACCAGAAAGAGCTAAATTATCTGTGTTTGATCATGTGTGCATTGTGTCATAATGGATCTGCTGAATATTCCGCCACAGACATACAGGCAGAACACCCCCCAGTGTGATGTGATAAGTTTGTACCATCCAGTGGGACATTTCAGACAAAATAAGCACAAGCAGGTCACCGCCCCTCTACAAGAAATGTTACGCAGTGCAACTCTTTGCTAGAAAAAAGCAAATGTTAGTAATTTCCTTTTTAAAATTCTATTCAAGTGTTGCCCACAACTTGTTGAACCAGAAAAGCCCCACCCGGGAATTGAACGTGAGACTTGCTGGCTCTGAGGTGCTCTGAAGTGCTCTGAGGTGCTCTGAGGTGCTGCTGTAACCTTATGCTCCCAGTGCTGATTTGTAGTTTGTTGTCGTCTTGTATCCCTGACCTGCTGCTGACCCCCCTGACCCCTCACACCGAGCTGTCAATCAGAGTGAAGGGTCAGAGGTTAAAGCTTCACACACTATCACCTGTCAGTCACCTGTCAGTCACCTTTGTGCACTTAAACAGTCTGGAACATTTCTGTACCTGCTGCGAAATCCTTCAAAATGTGCACGTTTATCAGAATGTCGACAATGTTGACAATCGAATATTGTATTTTTACAAGAAACTCAGACTATATCGAAACTAGACACTCATTTGACACTCATCATACTCATAGTGATGGTCAGATGGGAATCAAACCTCCAGCCCCCTGTGTAAATGTGTTTGTCTGTTTTCAGGTGTTATCGTCCTGCTCGTCACCTCTCGACCAGGTGAGTGAACACAGAAAACGGACATTTAGACGTTTTTAAAGGTCATTAAGTAGTCAGATTAAATCATGTTTGTTTTTTCAGCTCAGCTCCAGCAGCAAGTCTTTATCGCTGAAAAAAAGAGGCTCCCTTCCGAGGTAAATGTGGAAAAAATCATGGATGAAGAGGAGAGGGTCAGATGAGGAGAGGAGAGGGTCAGAGAAGGAGAGGGTCAGACGAGGAGAAGGTCAGAGGAGGAGAGGGTCAGAGGAGGAGAGGGTAAGAGGAGGAGAGGAGAGAGTCAGAGGAGGAGAGGAGAGGGTCAGAGGAGGAGAGAGGAGGAGAGGAGAGTCAGAGAGAGAGGAGAGGTCAGAGGAGAGGGTCAGAGGAGAGAGAGTCAGAGGAGGAGAGGAGAGGAGTCAGAGGAGAGGAGAGGGTCAGAGGAGGAGAGGAGAGAGTCAGAGGAGGAGAGGAGAGGGTCAGAGGAGGAGAGGAGAGGGTCAGAGGAGGAGAGGAGAGAGTCAGAGGAGGAGAGGGTCAGAGAGGAGAGGGTCAGAAGAGGAGAGGGTCAGAGAGGAGAGGAGAGGTCAGAGAGGAGAGGGTCAGAGGAGGAGAGAGTCAGAGGAGGAGAGGGTCAGAAGAGGAGATGGTAAGAAGAGGAGAGGGTCAGAGGTGGAGAGCGTCATAGGGTCAGATGATTGCGTCTTGTCTGTGGCTCCAGGAGCAGGAGTGTGGAGTGGGTGATGGAGCAGAGGGTCAGAGAAGGAGAGGGTCAGAGGAGCAGAGGGGCAGAGGGGCAGAGGATGTGAGGATTGAGTGTCTCGTCTGTGTCTCCAGGAGCAGGAGTGTGGAGCGGGTGATGGAGCAGAGGTATGACTTTGACCTGACCTACATCACTGAGAGGATCATCTCAGTGTTTTTCCCTGAGTTGGACGAGGCGCAGTACCACCACAACATCCAGGAGGTGGCGCTCATGCTCAAGAACAAGCACCACCACAAGTTCCTGGTCAGGAGAACCCACTGACGCATGATTCAAATGGAGATTATAAAAGAAAATGTGTAAAACTCTGTCCTCTTGTCATGTATTTCAGCTCTTAAATTTATCAGAGAAACGACATGACATCACCAAACTCAACCCAAAGGTAAGAATGTCTAAAACAAAACTTAAAAACATGTGAGATATATGCTATTTTTGTCTAGAACTGTTGTAATAGTTAGTTGAGTATTAAGTACCAACCAAAGAGTAACTGGTTCCAGACCTCACCTTGGTCTAGACACTTGGGCTGCTCTGGCTCTGCTCACAGTGCATATGGCATGTGTTCATGTTTTTCTCATTTTTCCTTGGTTCACTGATGGTACTTGTGGTGAATATTTATCATAGTTTTACAAAGTTTTTTTAATGGACAATTTATGAGCAAAGAAAGTACTTTTCCAACTGTTTAAACAACAGTTTAATAAAATAAAAGCATTTTATTTTGATTTGTCTGTGTTAATAATGGTTGTGTAATAATGTGGATGAATCGTGGCCCTTGTTTACATTGTGGTTGCTAGGTAACAGTTATGGAATTACCTCTACATACAGTATGTCACATCTGCTGCCTCTGACCAACCAAGAAATAAAATAGCTTCTTATGAATTTTTCCAACATTGTCAAACTAAGGAAAACAAGGAAATCCTTTTTGGTCCAATTTTAAACTCTATTTATCTCAATGTTAATTATACTTTAGTGACATAAGTTGTTGAACCTGTCATATGCTCTTTAAGTTAAAGTACAGGTGTTTCAGAATTCCTCCACAGGCTAACCCAGATGCCCTCCCGTGTGCAGGTGCAGGACTTTGGCTGGCCTGACCTCCATGCTCCCCCTTTGGACCGGATCTGCTCCGTGTGCAAAGCCATGGAGAGCTGGCTGTCCCAAGACCCCCAGAACGTGGTGGTACTGCACTGTAAGGTGAGGCCTAGTCCTGACGTGGTGTATATGTATATGTATATGTATTTGTATATATATATATTAGCATGTAATTCTTGTTATTTCCAGGGTAACAAAGGGAAGACTGGAGTGATTGTGGCAGCGTACATGCACTACAGCAAGATCTCTGCAGGGTAAGGTCCAGTACTTACTCTAGTAAATATGTCCAGTACTTACTGCAGTAAGTAGGTCCAGTACTTATGTCAGGGGTAATGAAGTTTAGGACATGTTACACCCGAGAGCCAGGGCCTTCATCTGTCTGTGTGCACAGAGGAGGAGGAGGAGGAGGTCATATGTGTTTGTGTAGAATGTGTAAAGTATTTTCTTGTATCTTCTCTTACAGAGTGGAACAGGCACTCACCACTTTGGCCATGAGGAAGTTTTGTGAAGACAAAGTGTCATCTTCTCTGCAGCCGTCTCAGAACAGGTCTTACACGCGCACGCACACACACGCACACGCACACGCACACACACACACACACACACACACACACACACATGCACAATGCACAAAACAATGCAGATGACCTGGTGGCTGAAGCAGCCTGTGCTTCCATGTGCACTCATGCACTCATTCATTTTGAATTGATCTTATGTAATAATCTAATTTTCTGAGACACACAATCCATAACTTTAAAAATTCAAGAAATAAACTACAAATCTTTCACTCCGTGTGTCATGAGTTTATATGAAATATGGGTTTGACTTTCTGAAATAAGTGCCAAAAAATATGAAACTTTTTCATGATATTCTAATTATTAGTGCTGGACTAGTAATGCAGTACATGACATTATCAAAGTGTGGCTTCATCTAGGATTTTCATCAGTATTTAATTGTCTTTTCTCTCCACTCTCTGCTGTCCTGTTTATTCCTCTCATCTTGCTCTTTCTCCCTCACTCTCTCCTTCAACCCTTTTCCCTCCTTACTGTCCCTCTCTCATCCCTCTCCTTCCTTTCTCTCTCTTCCCTTCCCTTTTCCTCCTCTCTCCCTCTCTTTACCCCACTCTCTTTTTCCTCTTTTTTGTCTTTCTCCTCATGCTCTCTCCCGCCCTTCTCCCTCTTCTTTTCCTCCCCTTTTCCTCTTCTCTCCATACACAGATACATATACTACTTTGGTGGTCTCCTGTCGGGCCTCATTCAGATGAACAGCAGTCCTCTGTTCCTTCAGCAGATCCTGGTCCCTGTGCTGAGCTTTGAGCCTGGAGGAGGTCAGATGTGCTTTCCACCAAAACTAAACCTGCTCTGTTGTCTTTGTCTCTGCACTGCAAACTCACTGTTTCTTTATTTGAGCGCTTTAGTCTATAGGTGACGTGTATGTACTTATGACCTACATAAATCACAGAAATACATATTTCTGTGTGGAGTTCCACAGTGACTGCCCACCTCTGGTTCCAGAATTACATTTCTCATACATTTTTTTTCTCTGTAGACTTTCTGAAGAAGAAAAAAAAATGACTATTGAAAGTTTGAAAGTTCAGGGCTCATCAGTTCTGTGATGACCTCAAATTGTATTTATGAAACTTTATAAACCACAAATGCATTAAAGCATTTCACTGAATCTTCTTTTTAAAATGTGCTTTTTGGACTTAAAAACATCCAGCTTGTGGATATTAGTGAGCCTGTAGCTAGTTAGCCTCCGCCATGTCTTTGAACTCGGAATATTAGAATTTTGAATGAATGAATGGAAAGCTAAGCAGGACTGTGAAGGACTTATCATTTTCTTGGCAGATTTTTTATTTTTTATTTTTTTTACCACAGTGAAAATGAATCTTCTTAATCATATATTAAATGGCAGATTATTTAGAGTAACTCTAAGTGTTAAAGTATTGTCTGGAAAAAGAGCACATAAGACAACTACTATGAATTAAATGAAATAAAGTATTTAGCGCTATACTACTACTACACAAAAAATGATCATCTAAATGTAATATGTACAAAACTTTTGCACATACAGATTTTTGTAGTGAACGTGTGAAGTGAAACATGAAACCGAGCAGTAACTGTACGCTGCATATTTGTGCCCTCTGTCTCTCTCTCTGTCTCTCTCTCTACCCGATCCTTTTTTTCTGCAGGTTTCTATCCGTTTGTGAAGATCTATCAGTCTCTTCAGCTGGTGCACACGTCTGCGCTCTAGTGAGTCCTGTATGATTCTGTTAAAGGTCTGAGGTTTGAGGTCTGGACTGGACCTTCACTCTTTCATTCATTGTTTTGTTGTTTGTGCAGTGACCCTCAAAACTCCAGAGCGAAGAAGCTGTGTGTGAGCCTGGACACGCCTCTGCTGCTCAAAGGAGACATCATGGTGAGGGACCAGCGTTTAGATCAGGCGTGTCCAAACTATGGCCTGTGGGCCAAATGCGGCCCTCAGACAAATTTTTCTTGGCCCTCAGGCTTCCAGGTGAATTGGCCCAAATTACCTTGCATCAATTAAAAATGAACTTTCTACTGCAAGTTTTTTGAAAATCTATCTTGATAAAGCAAATATTTAATATTTAGTGTGTTGTTTTAAGTAACGTAGCATGAATAAAGACTGATGGCTCATTCTAACGTGTTAAACATGCACATATTTCAATTATTCACTGTATTGAGCACCAGTCTACGGCCCTTGATCGGCCATCTGCTTCGTCTGTGTTTAGAAATGTGGCCCTTGATGAAAAAAGTTTGGACACCCCTGGTTTAGATGATCAAAACTCACTTTTTTTTTTACATTTGAACCTTGTTCTGATGTAAAGTTGTGCAATCAATCACATTTAATGTTTTACTTCTCATCTTAATAAATGTCAAAGTCTCTGTATCTGATTTTGACTTTTCTAAAACATGAAAAACAGAAGTGCATCAAAATTATTTTAAATTATTATAGCTTCAGTTTTTGTCTTTTCTTCATGACAAAAATACAAAACATTTAATTCTACCTAGATCTGACTTGCAACTTGCTTTTCTCCATGGAGACAAGCAGGCACTAGAAATGTGACATAGTGCACCTTTAAACATCATAAACAGTTATATGTAAAACCATCATGGAATTAATAGTAAAACTAATGTGAAATGACAGTTTCCTGTCAGACCATGGTCACATGGTTCATAGCGAGTCTGTACTGAAGTGTAGCCTGAACAGCGCCCCCTGTGTTCACACAGGTGAAGTGCTTCCACAGGCGCAGTGCTGCAGGGAGAGAGGAGGTGTTCAGAGTGCAGTTCCACTCCTGTGCTGTGCACGGCGCTCAACTCTGGTTTAAGAAATGTGACCTGGACCACGCCTGTAACGGTCAGTACTGTCACACTCTTACTACTGTTAATACTAATATTACTACTGCTACTGCTACTGCTACTGCTAATACTACTACTACTGCTACTGCTACTGCTAATACTACTACTACTGCTACTACTACTACTACTACTACTACTACTACTACTACTACTACTACTACTACTACTACTACTACTGCTTATTGTTACTACTAATACTACTACTACTGTTACTACTACTGCTACTACTACCTACTACTACTACTGCTACTGCTACTGTTGGTACTAATACTACTGCTACTGTTACTGCTACTGTTAGTACTACTACTCCTACAACTACTATTACTATTGTTACTACTTATACTACCACAACTACTGCTGCTACTGTTACTACTAATACTACTGCTACTAATACTTCTTATATTGCTACTACTACTACGGTTACTATTAATATTACTGCTACTACAACTACTACTACTACTACTACTACTACTTTTACAACTACTACTACTGCTAGAATTAATACTACTACTGCTACTACTACTACTTTCTACTGTTGTGTCATATAAATCCTTATCTAAATAAAATGATTATTCGACTAATCCACATTTTGTTGGAGTAGCACTCCACTGACCGATTAATCGACTGAATGACTACAGCAGTATTTAGTTACTTCCTAATACTGAAAACTGGTACTATAGAATTACTACTGCTACTTATGCTTCTGAACTAGTCCTAATATATTTGCTACTGTTACTGTTGATGCTTCTACTAGGTAGAAGTTAGTTCTTCCTGCTCAGGGTGTATTTGATTTGAAGCTCCTCTATGGTCTGGTTTGAGTCCTGGTCTGGACGTTGCAGGTGGAGAGTATTGCCTTGGTGGAGGCCTGCTGCTGTATACTGCTGTAGTGTCTCTGATCATTCACAAATCACAAACTCTTCTTCCTGTGCGACTAAAGACCTGGGACAGCGGAGGCCTTTTTAAAGCTATAAATAATTCTAACCTTCACAAACATCATGTTTTTTTTGCCCCTTTAGACATTTGAGTCATGTTTATTTTTACACTAGAACCTGTCAAAGCTTCAGTATGTCAGACCATCTTTCTTTGGATCATTTATGCTTTTTGTCTTTGGTCTTTTCACAGATGACAGGTTTCCAGCGGACGCCACAGTGGAGTTTCTCTTCTCAAATGGACCAGAAAAAATCAAAGGTGTTACTTCAGTTTTTGTTCAGCATTTGTACATTCATTGTATTTTAATATTTTCTTATTTGAAGTTGTATTTTTGCGTTTGGAGGTCGTGAGTATCGTAAAAACGATTCGTGTGTGAAAGTGGACAGTGATGTGTCTGACCCAGTCATGAGGTGGGACTCTTACGAGAACTTCAACCTGCACCATGAAGACAGCGTGGAGAGTGAGTACTACTACTATTACTACTACTACTACTACTACTGCTGCTACTACTACTACTATTACTACTACAAACTACTACTACTGTTACTACTACTACTACTACTACTGCTACTACTACTACTGCTACTACTACTACTACTACTACTATTACTACTGCTGCTGCTTCTTCTCCTCCTACCTGAGCAGCAGTATTTCCTTACTGTTAATGCTGTATCTGTGCAGCTTCTACTGCTATTACTACTACTGTTACTGCCGCTGCTACTGCTACAACTATTTTTACCACTACTAGTGTTATTACAAGTACAACTACTACTACTACTACTACTACTACTGCTATTACTACTATTACTACAACTGCTGCTATTACTACTACTACTACTACTACTACTACTACTACTACTACTACTACTACTACTACTACTACTACTACTACTGCTACTACTGCTACTACTACTACTACTACTACTACTACTACTACTGCTGCTGCTACTACTGCTACTACTACTGGTACTACTACTAGTACTACTACTACTAACACTACTACTACAACAACTGCTATAATAGTGCTACTGCTACTGCTCCTATTACAAATATTTCTATTACTATAACTAAGACAGCAGCAGTACATCCAGAACACTGCTGCTCGGCTCCTGACTAGGACCAGGAAGTCCAAGTACATGTGTGCTGGTCTCAGGTCTGTGGCTCCTGGTCTCAGGCCTGTGGCTCCTGGTCTCAGGTCTGTGGCTCCTGGTCTCAGAATAGACTTTAAAGCAGCTCTGTTGTACAAGTCTCTCCATGACCAGAGTGGATCTGTGACTTGTTAATCTTTGCTAAAGGTTCATTCTGTCCTCAGTCATAAACGTGTTTACTTGGTCAGACAAGAGAGTTTGACATGTTTCGGCCACTTCCTGTATCGTCCTCAGAAGTGTCACGTGACTTGTCGGCTGCTTTACTTGGTTTTGTCAAACAGCAGGGGCAGGATGAGCCTGGCATTGTTCCATGATGTGGTTGTGGAACAAAGCCAGGCTCATTCATGCCCAAAGCAACAAATGCCAGCACTTTATCAGAGAGGTCATGGAGATACACAAACCAGGTCCAGGGAGTGTAACCGTGGCGAGGGAGCATACACCATCACAAGTCCTGGAGAAGGCGTCAGACAGCGTCACCCCTTCTGATTTTTGTGAAGCATCTGCTTGTGATAGAGACTGACCAATCACAAACTATGACCAATCACAAACTCTGACCAATCACAAACTCTGACATTGGCCTATTTATTAACATTTGTGGAGGGAAAACTGTATGTGCTTTTCTTTCTGGATTTAACTCCAGTTTGAGTTCTCATCTTAGTTCACTGTTATGACGCTTCGACCAAGTAATTGTTTGAACGCTCTGATCATTGGTTCTGATCTCTTTCAGTTGGAGTCGCCCCAGATAAATGTGTAGAACTCTATTCAGAGCTGAGGAGAGCCAGGTTACCATCTCGGATTCTGAGGCTCTCAGTGACCTCTTGCTGTAGTCCTGGTTTAGTCTTGGTTTCATCTTAGTTTAATCCTGGTTTAATACTTTTTTTTGCATTACATATGAACCTTTCCCTTTGTTTTGTTTCCTCCTCAGACATCTCTCACACTCGGGGCCCTCTGGACGGCAGCCTGTACGCTCAGGTCCGGAAACGTCGTGGCCCTGGCTCCGCTCCCAAATGCTCCTCTACCAATGGGAACCTCCGAAACGGCCCCACTGTGAGGTCTGCCCCAAGCCTGCCCCGCCCACTTCCCTCTATTCCGCTTGAAGAACTGGAGCCTCCAAACCAATCAACTCCCTCGGACAAGACTAAAGAGAAGGACAGAGAGACCGCCATTTTGGATGACGCCGAAACCAAAAAAGATAATTCGTGTTGTCCTCAAAATGTCCACAAGAGTGTGCCACGTGAGAAAGAGCCGTGTCTCGTGAATTCGCACTGTCATAACCGATGTAACTGTGTGAAAAATAACCCAAAAAGCCAAACTTTACCTGCGCTGGTCTCCAAATCAATCTCTCCTCCTCCAACTCCACAAATGTCCAGTTCTCAGGTAGAGCTATGCCATCGCCACAGCGCATTCTCACATCAAGAGCTACAAATCCAGCGGCCCTCTCTGGCTCCTCTGGCTCCTCTGGCTCCTCTGGCTCCTCAGGCTCCTCTGGCTCCTCTGGCCTTAAACCAGCCGTGCGTGTACCAGAAGTGCTTCCCCTGCCCACAGATTGAGCAGCATCACAGCCATGTTTTAACCAACTCCTCCAGGCTCTGCTCCGGTTCAGATTTCCAGTTGTACATCCCGAGTCAGAGTCCGTCCACACACCTGTCCCAGCCCGCGCTCACGTCAGGCCCCTATCGAGAGCTGATCATCGGGCCACCACATGCGCTCTGCCCCTGTAGAGACTGCACCTCCAGGGGACCAATCAGGACATTCCACGCCATGCACTCGGACCAATCAGACGGCTCGCAGTGGTCACATGGGACCAGACAGAGGTAAATATGTTCAAATAATCTGATCATAGAGAAACTGCGTCTGGTTAACTCCATAGAGTATTAGTTCATTTTCTGCCATAGTTAATAGGTGGGGTATAGAAGGGTGGGAGGGCATCTCATACACGAGAATTTATGTGAGTGGGAGGGCATCTGACACACGGGGATACAGGAGGATAGGACGGCATCTGACACAAAAGGATATAGGAGGAGGAAAGGTCACCGGCTGCAGGTCATGAAAAGCAGAAATAATTTCTTATAATTCAACAAATATGTTCACATAACTTCTGTGTGTCAGATGCCCTCCCGTCCTCCTATATCCTTGTAGTGTGAGTCTGAGATGGGGGCAGGTCAAATGTCTCTAGTGAATATGCACGTGTGTTGTGGTTGGTAAACGGGTGAATGGACTTTATTACTAATAGAATGATTTGTATTGTTTGTTTGTATTCATTATTAAAGGGACAGTACATACTAAAATACATGATAATGTAAGAGACAAACATGGACTTACATATGCAGGATTATAAACAAAGATAATTTCCATCCTTAGTCCCCTGCTGGACCAAAGCCACATCACCTGCACAATTCATAAAACACGACAAAAGCTACAACAGCCGCTCCTGCATGTATCTGTCACTCACACACTGTAAAACACACTCAGCCCACATCAGTATTAAAATGTACAGGTCAAATATGCACGCGCATTACTTCCACATGCACAGCACTAACTCTGTTTACACATCTTTACACAAATCTGAGTGCAGTCCCTGGCTCACGTGCAGAAGGTGCAGTTTAAGTTCAGTTGTGTGGACAGATGTGATTGTCCAGTAGTCACGATTTAAGTTGAGCAGAGAAGAGCAGCTCATGTACAGTCGCTGTGACTGTGTTCCAGGTTTGATGCGTGGAAAGAGAACACAGCCTGTCCAAAGTCCAAAGGCACTTTTCATTGATGGTTTTATACAATCACCTCTGGAGCTGCTCTTGTTCATCTGTTCAGATTTTTTATATATATATATATTCTTGTAGTGGGTCAGGGGCCAGACCATGTCAAATTTTGTACACAAGAATCGAGCTGCACATTTGATCATGTTCTCCCAGCCTAGTATGTTGTGTTTCTTCAAAATAATGCAGTGATGGTGGTTCTTTGGTTTTTTGTCTAAAATTTTCAGAGCTCTTTTATATACCATTTAAACTGATTTCAGAGTGCTCTTGCATGCTGAGGCCCTCAGTATGTTATGTGAGAAACAATCACTGCATTAAAATATAGCTTAGCTGCCTCCAATGTGAGATTGTCTCTTATGTGTTTGAAAGTAGACAAATTTAACTTAATTTTTGTTTACGACCTTTTTTACTTGCTGTTTGAAGTTGAGTTTGGTGTCAACCATAACTCCTACATATTTAAATTCAGTAACTCTCTCAGTAGGTGTTCCTTTTATCAGTGCAGGTGGCTTACTTGTGGATTTGACTTTTGGAGATTTCTGAAAGTACCAGAGAATGATAGAGAATACTTTCAATATATTTTTAATCATTGATAAATTGTTTTAAAATTGTGAAAATAGCTCAATCTTTCCCATGGTATCATCCATAGGGAGTTGTGGGAGACTCCGTGGCAGAGAGAGCCAGAGTTCTGGCAGTACCATAAGCCCTCGGTACAAGCCTTCCACTCGTGCCCAGCGACAGTGAGCCCGAGTCCAGCCTTAGACCAGCGGAGGTTCCCCTGTGGAGCTCAAGGACTCAGCCAGGCCTTCCCCAGCCCACAGTCCCAGACCGATGTGAGGGAGGGGGGCAGGGCCGAGTACCACGGTCCCCCTCAGCTGGAGGTGGGAAAACACACACATAAACACATGAAGACGCCAGAAATACAAATATACGTATAACAATGTGTTTCTGATTTCAGAGGTATTAAAACCAATGGAGAGCATTCATACAGGCAAGCATAGAAAAGTAGGAATAGTAGCAGTAGTAGTATTTATTCAAAGATACTGAATTAAAAAATGATTTACCATAATGTAGTGCTGAATCAGTCTCGAAAATTGAAGTAGTAGTAATCAAAGAAGATTCAGGAGTTTTGGAAGTGTGTAGTAGTAGTAGTAGTAGTAGTAGTAGTAGTAGCAGTAGTAGTAGCAGCAGCAACAGTAGCAGTAGCAGTAGTAGCAGTAGTAGTAGCAGTAGTAGTAGTAGTAGTAGTAGCAGTAGTAGTAGTAGTAGTAGTAGTAGTAGTAGTAGTAGTAGTAGTAGTAGTGGAAGTAGCGATGCTATTTAAAGATTTTTTATTTATTCAAAGTTACTGAAATAAAAAGGACATAATGTAGTGTAATTAATCTCAGAAATTGTCAGTTCATGGTTGTTAATCAAGAACAGTTCTTATTTACTCTACACCATCATAAATAAATGCATTTTAGAAGTATATTTAAGAAGTATTGTGTGTTAGACCTGTACAATAAAAAAAAAAAAAATCTAAATGGGATTACAGTTTATGCTTTGAGTAGTTGGAGTAATCTTCCAGAACTGGCATATGAACTGTTAAACTAATACAAGCATTTCAGAACATGTTTGTAGACGTCTAAACTATAGAGTTAACAGTTTTTACATGAAAACACAAGGGCATCTGACACAAAGGGACATTTCAGAACATGTTTGTAGAGGTCTCAAGTACAATAAGGCTTTACAGAGAATAAGACCCCATGGAGACAACATGTTGTCTTTTAGAGTAGTCATTCAAATGAAGGAGAGCTGTGTTATATAACAGAAGTGGAAGTATCTGTCATAGTATCAGATGAAACTGCTCTTCCATACTTCACATTGACCTGTTTAAATGTGACTCGTGACTGCCCCCTTGTGTCCAGACACGCCTCTCTTGCCCTCCTGCCCCGGCAGCCATGTTGAGGAGTGCAGAGAGTCCTGTGAGCAGAGGGTATGTGTCAGGGTCCAACTCACCCCTCCCCGCGGGCACCCCCTCCCCAAAGAGAGCCTCACTGCCCCCGGACCCCCCCGGCTCCTCCCACCAGTGCACAGGTGAGAGGGAGGGAGCGCATGTTTCTCATCATTTTAATCCTCAAAAACATGGCCAGTCCCATGTGCCATGTGAGAAACGACGTTTTATTACCACTTTCAATCCTCGTTTAGAGAGATGCCCTTCAGATGAGAGCGCTGTTTAAGTAGCTCTTTTACACTCTTACACTGTGAATAGTGTCATGTGGGAAAGATTACAGGTTTTATTTGTATTTTTTGTGCATTGTACTAACTTTTCTTCTCTTTATGTAGTCCTCATGCTGCTGTCTCTTGACCAGGTCACTGCTATAAATGACCTACCTGGATAAATAATCGCTGAATAAATAAATCAAATGAGCACCACAGAGCAGAATTCTGTCCAGACAAACTGTGTATTTTGTTTTAATGAAAAATCGTACTTGTTTATAGTTTCAGCTCAGTCACTCAGTTAGATAGTTAACCCAGTTTTGTTCAGCGGTCTTCAGTTTACTCTTCCTCCCCTTCTCTATCAGGAATGTTCCAGATCTTTTCTATATCTTTTTCTACCAAAACATGCTGTATAACGCTGTATTTCCTGTTTGTGTCAGACTCGACTGGTGCCGAGCGTGAGGGTCAGAGGTCACCAGAGTCTGAACACGACTACACAGTGATCAGCAGCAGCCCCACCGGACACAGGTCAGAATATACTACTCTATATACTTGTATACATACAGTCTCCACCCACCGGACACACGAGAGCACGTATACTACTACATGTGTTAATACCGGCTTGTCAAAGCCTGATCCCGTCAGATCTCAGAAGCTCAGCGGGGCTGGGCCTGGTTAGTACTTAGATCGGAGACACTGAGGTGACCACTGGGTGGTCACAAAACAGTCACAAAAACTGTTTACATTGTGTCCTTAGGCAAGACACGTCACCCACATTGTCTAGTATGAAAGTGGTGTGGGTGTGAGTGATGATGGTCCGAGGGGCCAATGGCACCAAGTGGCAGCCGTGCTTCCGTCAGTCTGCCCCAGAGCAGCTGTGGCTACAATAGTAGCTTACCACCACTGGTATGGAGAGACATATGTCTGTGATAAGCGCTATATAAATAAAAACTTATTGACTTACTGAAGTGAGAGTAGATGTGAATAATACAGGCTCAGCCCCACGAGCACAAGTGAAAATATACACTGCTCAAAAAACTTTAAGGAACCCTTTGAAAACACATCAGATCCTGGCCTCATGTGGCAAGAATCTGTGGGCAGAATCTGGAGGATGAAGGGACTGATACAACTGAAAGGTCCTCACGATCACCTGACTTAAACCTGATAGAACACATTTTATTTCCATTAAAAGAGGTGGTATCCTTTTGCTCCTCAGACATTACCCTGTCCATACTGGTATAGATAACTGCTGTGTTTTCAAAGTGTTCCTTTAATTTCTTTGAGCAGTGTGTATATACAAGCATAAGAACAATATACATATGTGTAATACACGGGCTCTGCCCATCTGCACCGCGGCAGGTAAGAACATATATACAACCATAACACTGATGATGCAAGGAGTCATATAAACCTAATATTCACTTTAAATATTATAGAAGAAATATTCTAAATTACCTGTCAAGAATGTTAAGAGTGAATGTGAGAACTAAACCAGGACTAACACTTTGACCAGATAGATCCTGGTCTCCTATTGCATCACTAAACACATTTTCTCTCCTCCTCAGTGTGACTCCGGACAGCGCTGCAGCCCAAAGCCCAGAAACCAAACTCTCCCTCCACAACACTGACACATCCTCACCATCAGATCTGAACAGTCCCACCCTGCCCTCTGCAACCTGCCCCCAAGTCCCCCCAGACCCAGCCAAAACCCAACAGCCTGCCCCTGGAGCCACCACACCCGGGCCTCAAGCCTCCAGTCCGGTCCAGGTCCAGATCAACGGTTCAGCTTTACCAAACCCATCCGACGGCACCCATTTTGTGAGCATGAACACGTCCCCTAGCCCCACCTCCTCCCTCTCCTCCCCCTCCTCCCCTGAGCCCTCCCCCCTTCGCTCCTCCCTCTCCACAGACCAGAGTCTAACCCCAGACCTGCCAGAGCCCAAGCCACCATCGCCAGTCCCCGATGGGTATAACACGCCCACGTTTCCGCTGGCGTCGTACTACTACCCTCTGCTCAACGTGCCCCATGTGCCCTACACCGGGTACACCGCCGTCACCATCCCCACCCAGCCTCCTCTGCCCGAGAAGAAGAGAGGAGCCAGCCAGTCAGGAGCCACCAGCGGGCACAGCGCTCTGCACAGGTGGGTACAGCAAATGTTCTTACAATACCAGTCAAAGGTTTGTAAGAAAAAATAAAAAAAATAAAACATTGACTGAGAGGGTGTGGCCAAATGTTTGACTGGTCGTGTATTTTACCTGAAATGAATGAACCTGGTGGAAGAGATAATTCTGTTGTCATTGAAATTACACAGTATGGCATTAGACTTCAAAATCTCCATGGAGACAGAAAGGACGATGAAATCACCCATATTTACAAAACAAATCTCATTTCTATGGAGAGAAGCAGGTAGTGAACTCACCTCTAGAAAAGTTACACAATGCACCTTTAAATATATATACGTAAATGTGAATTCAGAATCACTACTAGAACTGTCAATATTTTATTTGCTTCTGACCTTAATTTGACCATTAGTTCTAAATAAGATCAAATAAATACAGAAACTGAAAAAAAATCTGTTTTAAAGGTGCTACTCTTCCTCTGAAGGTTATAATGTTCATCTATAGTAGGCCTATAACTATTGCCTATGTTACATTTGAATCATTAAAATAGATCTTTTGTTGTTCATGTAAATACTTGACATGAATATCTGGACTTTTTCCACACACATTTGTTTTTATTTTAAAAGCTCAATGTTTGACATTTTGAAACTTTGCATTTGGAGTACATTTGAATGTGGTTTATATAGTTCACTTTTATGAACGTTTTGAAAGGAAGTCTCTTTTCTTAGCTCAGGGGGCCCAGACACAATAATGAGATACTTGTTATCACATATTCAAAAAACTAACTCATTTTCGACATGCAAATGTCACACTGACACCCTGCCGTTCTTGGCACTATTATCTGATTATAATTCCTTCTTGATTATAATCTCCTCCACCCTCCCCTGATTTTCTCCCCAGGGTGACGTCAGCGCCCGTCCCCAGCCAGAGTGCCTCATCTCTGGGCAGTGGGGAGCAGAGGAGGGGGTCTGCTCAGGTGGAGGGGGACATCAGGGTCAATGCAAAGTTTGTCCAGGACAGCTCCAAGTTCTGGTACAAACCCGGAATCTCCAGGGACCAGGGTGAGTGACAATGGGGCGTTAATACAGCTTTAAACTTTATACACCTTCACTAGAATCATTTAGAAAATTACAGCTCAGGAATTATTAATCTATACAAAACACTATGAGCACAGCATTCTCACACAGAAACACCAGGGTTCCACAGATGAGCCACATTTTCACTGGCTGCCTCTAACCAGGCAAGCATCAAGCAGTGTGAAATCCCACTGGCTGCCCTCAAGAACAGATGGAAAGTGTGTGACTACCCACGAAAGGAAACACATCATCTCTACTGTCAAGTTCAATTCGTCTGATGAAACTTTGGAAAATTCAATATATTAAAAAAAAAACAGTCTTCCTCACAGTCCTCTCAGTTGCAAGAATGACAAAAGTATCTCTGTCTTCAATGGTCATATATGAGCAAATTAGTTGCAGAGTGCTCAGTTTAGCATCATATATAGGGAATAAACATTCTGCAGTGTTGTAAAGCTTCTTCAGAATTGCACTTTGATTTGTAACAATATTTTCATTTAGGATGTAATTCTCTAAAGACCGCAGTTCTTCTTCTGTTGACCTGAAGAAGAGTGCTGTTAGCACCTCTTTCACAAAGATCATACCAGTCCAGCAGTAAACTGTGACAGTCCGTCACTATAGTGGGACTGTACTCTACCTCTTCACACAACTGAAGAGCATAAAGCAGTGCTGCAGCTGCAGGCTGAGGATTTGAAAACGATTTACTTTTCCACTTCAAATATTTTGTCACTTTTACTAACAAGGCACAGACACAAAGGTGGGCTAGTAGTCTGGTCAAAGCTCTGGACTTCCACATGTCATCTGATGGCTTCCCACAAAGAGCTCGCAGGTGACCAGTCAGTAATGGCAACTTAACCCATTGGGGAGGCAAGGCTTGATACATTCTTGTCTCACTGGGACACAGCAGACTGAATATTTGGACAAGGAGAGCAGTGTCTTGGTTGGGCTCTACAATCACTGATTCTACCAGGCCTTGCAAAGCCACCATAAGAACATGCATACTTTTATTGTTCAATTTTACTATGAGTAATTGGTTCTTCAACCAAACTACAGCACTCTGCAAGAATCTGTTTACCTTGATGTCATTTTTAGAGAACTGGATGAATGATTGAACACCAGCAGCACACACTTTTTGAGGTTTAATTGCAAGAGAGTCAGGAAGATGAGCATGGTCTCGAGCAGTTAGCCTGAAGACGGTGAATAGGAGTTCTTCAGCTGATTCGATCAGAAAACAGTCTTGTACAGAGGAGAAGAACATCAAGGCCATGTCACAAACAAGTGAAATGAGTGGCTCTATGTTGCTGGCATTGGAAAGACTCTTGGTTTCAGACAGAGTGTTGTGCAACCTCTGAAGAATCTTTTCCATGTGCACCTCTCCAGACAAGGGATCAAGGGAACATTGTCATGGTGCTGCAATAAGACCAGGCTGATGAGTGTCCAACTGTGGCTGCTAGGTGAAGTGCTTGATGGTGTGGGCTGGACTTTTTAGAGTTCCTCGGTCAACTCTAAAAGAGTCTCCCCAGCACTGAGCCTTTGAGCCATTCATTGCAGCCTTTAAGAGTTCTCAATGAAGAGTATTACCCCCATGGTAAATTCATCATGGTGATCTGGCAAAGGACGTGGGTGGTCTCCTGTTGACAGCAGCACTGAAATGATGCTCAGTGTCTGCCCGACCCACCTATGACAGCCACACCACTACACGCTTCAACAGGAAGTGCATGGCTGGATTCTTTATGTTCCAAACAAGTGTTTGGTCTCATTATCTTGCACTTCTTGCTTGTCTAATACAAACAGTGTAGTAAAGACTTTGGGTGTGTAGAAGAACTTCAGAAGGTACGACAGAAAAACAAGATGTCTCTCAGTGTGTTTTTCAGTGACTTACAAGGCACAGTTAAGCGAGCTCATACTCGTCCTCAAAATACTGAGTCTGGATGGGTTCACTCAACTCGTTGCTGCCTTGTGCTGGCCTTGTCTTCACACATCCCTCAGAACCATGTCCCTCAACAGTTTTATCTTATGAACTGGAGAAACAAATCTTCTTTCTGTTCACTTTTTCTGTGCACCGCATTACCTTCAACAAAGTGGCTATTCCTTCAAATGCCCCTGGGTCAGTTTCCTCACTCCCAACATAATGCACAAAAAGCATCCCAAAAGACAACACAACTCTAAAGACGACACCGTGTAGTCCTACATGCTTCTGAAGGATTGGACTTGCAAGAGTAGTCTCCAGGAATGGTAGAAACTGTTGTGATATAAGCATGGACATGAGATTTTTCTGCTGCTCATCTTCTTGTACATTCAGTGAAATGCAGTATCTCAAACATTCCACAGCAGAGGTAACTATTACTGCACTTTCCGAGGAACTCGATGCAGCACACTCATTGGAGAGGCCATTGAAGTGATGTGAACAGGTGGTCAAAAAGTACATTTTTGGGTCAGTAAGGTGCTCAGGGAGTTTACTGAGGAGCGGCATTAGTTTTGGATGAAGTGCTTTTGCCGAGTCTTTGCCACCATCTTTTAACAGAGACCACAATTTAGGCAAAGAGCCCTTCTTTGCATTAACATGTGTCTAGCAGTCAGGAATGGCAGACTGCACACGGAGATCCACCTCCCACACAGCAGCGAGCACTAAACGATCTGCATCATTGATGTTCAAGAGAATGGCAGGACAAAGACGAGCAGTTTCAGCCTGGGCTAGGGTTCCAGCTCTGTTTTGTGTTTGTCGTACTTACAGAATTTCCCAGATCTAATCAAATCTGCTAGTTTCGTCTCTAGAGCTGCTCTGTCAGCTTGAGGTAATAGAGACAAGAGTCTCTTCACTCCAAGAAGAGGACTGGTCAGCATGCGCACACATTTAGCTTCCCGTTGTTCCTCAGTTACAGTTTGCCGGTCACTTAAAGTGTTTGCCGTGTCCTTTAACAGAATGTCTTGAAGTATGATGAGAATCTCAGCCTTGCAAAAGCTTAGGGCCTGGGGTTGTTTTGTAGAAAGCAGCCCGGAAAGCTTGCCAAGCTGCTGATGCCACAGGTGTGTATGTGTCACACTGAGACAAAATCCTGTGTCCCATCACACTCTTCAAAAAAGGAGCGTCGTACTTTCAACATCAGTTTGTCAAAGGCAATTTGAACTGCTTCTCTTATTCGCCGATCTGAATCCACTGATAATGCTATAAATTCTTTAACCCCTTTAACTTCTTCAGCCTCACGTTCCTGACACATGGCCCCTAAAACTTGCACTGCCTTTAATCTTGTAACATTGTCTCTTTTCGAAGCACCAAGTGAAAAACAGCACCAATAGATTGTCACTCTCTTCTCTGTTGATGACTGTGACATAACTGAGCTCAGAAGTGACCGTTGTGTCAAAGCCCACAAACCGGAGAATGATGGGACCTTTAAGGGCAAGGACCTCGGCAGCACGGACACTGCTAGACGGCTGAACATTTCCTTTAGTTCGCTGTTTATTCTTAGTTCCTATTATAAAGACATTCTATGTTAAACATGTACTTAACTCTAATGTTAAAACCAGATGACACGAGAGTTTGTGGGCAGTAAACAGAAGGTCTTTGCTGCTGCTAAACTTGAATGTCGCTCGGGATCAATAAAGTATCTCTCGTTTATGTTACTGGTCCGTTTGTGGTCAGGAAACAGACCATTAACAAACCTCAAACCTAATCTAAACATGTGAACAGCCTAAAACCAAATCAATCAGAATAAAAGTCCATTCCACACATATTCAAACTGGGGCCACAGACGCAGATGGATGTATTTTGTATAGCTTTGACACCTTCATCTTTAATATTCATAGATATAGCTCTGTTCCACCTTGTGATGTCATTTGGTATTACAAGAAGTGCTCCATTGTGTTTTTAAATATATGTTTTTAATATGTAATTTTGTGGAGTCATTTTAAAAATATGTAATATTTATAACATTTGATTAAAGTCTGGGTATTATGCAAAATCTGCATTTCTGCATGGAAGTTCCCTCATCAAAATGAAGAGATTTTAGATGTCATCCATGCATGTTTGAGTAATCTAGCGATCTCTCCCAGGCCCTATTCAAACCCTCCTTACAGTTAGCTATCTGTTCAATGCTCTGACCACAAGCCTATCTTGTCCAGCTAATCCAAAACTGAAAAAATGCATAGCACTCTCAGATAGCCGATGTCCAAAAGCTTTTATATTCAAAATAAAGTTTCGGCAAAAAAAGCTTTCATCTGGTATTTTTCTTGCTTTGGACTATAGCACAGGTGTGTGTGCTATGCATTTTGCTTCTTGCATTTGCACCTCTACAGGAATTTTGGTGTGCGTTTTCAGTTTCTTTTGATCTAGCTAATCCAAAACAAAACACAACTTCACAAACCAGAAACAATGTGCAGTAATTTCATCAGTGGGATGCAAGCTGATTGTGTTGTGATGATGCTCTGAAGGGGGAGTGACCTAGCATTGAGAGTGAATGGAGTGGGGACTCAGAGTGTCAAAAACTGAAAAACTGATATATAGCATTTTCAAAATAGTTAAAGGTAACCTGGTGACCTAAATATGT